TTTACTCCTGTCAAAATTAAGATCCCAATATTCCTATTGTGAACCTTAACCCTCTTTGTTCTTATATGAATAATCAATTCATAAAAAAAATTTAGCATGAAATCCAAGGTAAACACAACAATTAGAGACAACTTATTAATAAACAATTTAACCCAAAATATCCCTAACTACAAAAGAAAAATTAGTCAGATATAACTAGTTTAAACAAAATAAAAAAATAAAAGAAATTAGATAAAGTCATGACGATGAAGAAAGGAGATGATCCAATGTTGCTTCAATCTCCTCCAATATTCTCTCTCTCTAAAAACTCTGAATTCCCAGCAATTCTCTCCCTGCGTTCAGCTAATTCCCGTTCAAGTCCTCTGATTGTTTTTTTTTTTTTTTTTCTGATTTCCTTATCTTTGCTTTTATATCCTTTGAGTGATTTCCTTTAAATCCCAATCAAATCTTTCCAGATTATGTTTAGAAGACTAGGTTTTAAAAGTGTCACGTGCCTCTGGGACTAGTAGTGTGGCTCTGGAGCTGCTAGTGCCACTAAACAGAAGCTCAAATGTATTCTGACGCTGCTAGCGCCATTCTCGCGCTAGTGGTATGAAAAATTTGAAGTTCTGATGCTGCTAGCGCAAGTCCCACACTAGAGGCGTAGAGAAATAAAGGCTTTTTGATGTGATTGGCAATGGTAGCACCACTCTGGAGCTACTAGCGCGGTGAAACAAAAGGTGACTTGTATATTAGCGCGTCCTGGCGCTGATGGTGCAGCTGGACAGGAGCTTGATCAATTCTTCACTTGAGTTCTTCAACTTGTCTTTTTTCAAAAGGGCTAAAACTCCTACAAAAATACAAGAATTTCATGAAAGTACTAATTGAGAGTGAATTGATAGTTTAATCACAATTTTCATGTCTTTTTATCACATTTAGATTGAATTTATTCTCATTTTGACCTTTAAATTATATTAAGTTGAACACACATTAGTAACAAGTTTAAATCTTAACTGTGTCAATTAAGTTAAACTACAAAAAAATAAGCATGCAGGAAATTCTTAATTCTGAGATAAACTGTCTTTTTCTTTGATTCAACTAGAGAAATGGATTAATTAAATTGTGTACAAGCTAACCGTAATGCTCTAAATGGTCTAATTAACCGCAATATGCAATAAGGTTTGTGATGCTCTTAACTTGAAATTGCTCATCTAGAATTACTCAATGAATTTGTTGAGTGAAAGTAAATTTTGACGCTTTAACTAGTAACTAGTGGCTACTACCTACCTACCTACCAACCACTGAAGAGTCTGTGTCAGCGATATGTGGAAATCATTTCGGCAAATCCATTATTGGGTGAGGCAAAAGCGCTCTTGATTTCCACAATTAATGAAAGAATAGTGCAGGTTTGGATTTGGATCATAGATGAAAAAGTGATCATATTATTTAATTATAATTATTTATTTAAAAATTATTTTTTTTTTCTCTTAATCGTCTATAACTAATTGTAATTAAATAATATGATCATTTTTCACACAAATCCAAATATGTCGGTGTTGTGGACATGGGAAGACCCGACGGAACTCACAACTAAAACGTGTTGTTTCGCTAAACACATCGGAACAGAACAAATCGAATGCAATAAACAAATTTCCCACGGTATTGAAATTCGATCCAACAGACATGGTGAAGTTCGTGCGATTCAGAGGATACTTATTTTTACAGAACTTTCAAAAAAAATCTGGTTTCTGGTACCCTGGCAAGTTTACATTATACCCGAACCAAAAGGAATTATCTAAACCGCCTTAACAGACTATGCCCACTTCTTCGAACGAAGTACGCGTGTTAGTTGGATAAGGTAATAAAAAAGTCCACGTATCAGATAACGAGGAAAAGAAAAAAAAAACGTCAATGATAATACTCGGGTTCCTTTTAAGTAACAACATATATTCGTTGATTGAAATTATAATAATTATAACCGTGTGTTCGCTTTTTCTTATGTAGTTATTACAGATAATTTATTTGTCGTAAGTCTAATATGACATCGTTTTGCGAATATAATAGTCTTTATAATTATGGTATTTTTATAATTTTAATTTATTTCAAAGTTATAATAGTCTTTATATTTAAATTTTTTAAGATTTCAATATCAAAATAACGTCGTTTTGAGAATAAATGCAGATAACTCATCTGCAATAACTGCAGAAACAGTTTTCTCTTATAATGTAATAGAAATATAAGAATCAGGTTACAGGAATTCTTGTAACAAAAAAATAATTATATACTATAGATAATGGGTAATGCTTTTCTCATGTTACATGAGATAGCATTGTCTTATGTAGAGACATAATTAGATGGATCACGTAATTAAAAGAAAAGAAAAAAGAAAAAGAAATATTGGCTCAAATTTTGATGTGTGTATAACATAAGATAAGGTTTCTCATGTAACATGAGAAAAATATTTTCCATAAATAATACATAGTTATAAGCATTATAAATTTCTTTTAATATTATAATTATGTATTATTTATTATAACTATATACTATTCATAGTATATAATTATAAGAGACATGGAAAAAATAACAACTATATTACCCATAGTATATAATTTTTATTTTGCAAGATGTCATGAACTTATAATATATTATTTAGTTAATAAAAATTTATAACCATTAATATGTTATCAAGTTTGTTGTAAGCGCACGTCTATGTTTTTTACTGTAATCAATGTTAATAAAATTGGATCGACTTAACCGAATCAATTTGAAAATTGATAAGTTGGTTATATAATCGATTCAGGTGAAAGAATAAATCGGTAATGCATTAGAACTAATGCGAACTGATGTGACCTGGTCAGTTTTCGTAAAAACTGGTGACCCGGCTAGGTCACAAAATAAAAAAAAAATCCAAAATTTTAAAAAAATAAATATATAATAGACATATTTTAGTATTTTTTGATTATTGACTTACATAGATTATGTACCTACAACATTAATATTATTTAAATTATGCACTATGTAGAAAATTTTGATTTGATTTATAGTTAGAGATGTCATTTGCTGAACTTGCATCCCCACATCAAATTCTGGTTTGATCCTTTAGGATAATAATATGTGATTTATTATTTTTTTATTAAAATATTTGAAATTTTTATTATTTTTTAAGATATTTAAGTATGTTTATAATTATTATTTTTAAACATTTGAGTATATTTATAATTTTTTAATATAAATTATAGAATTACATATATTTACCAGTTATACAATTCAATTAGTAACCCACTAATTAAATCAGTAATCTAATACCTCAACTGAATTAATAACCTAGCCGATTTTAATAAGATCGAGTGTAAGCATTTCCTCAGAAGCAATATTATTAAAACCGGCTCGGTCATTGACCCGGTTGAGGTATTGGATCACTGGTTCAATCAGTGGGTCACTGGTTCAACCGCATGACCCCGTAACTACATACAATTTTATAATTTATATTAAAAAATTATAAACATACTCAAATATCTAAAAAAATGATAAAACTTTCAAATATTTTATATAAGAAATAATAAATCACATATTATTATCCAATAAAAGATCAAACAAAAATATAATGATCGTGATACGGGGCTTTAGGTTCAGAAAACGACATCTCAAACTATAAATTAATTTAAAATTTTCTGCATAGTACATAACTGAGATAATATTAGTGTTGTAGGTACATAACTTATTTAAATCAATAAGCAAAAAAATATTCAAATATATTCATTATGATTTTTTTTTTGGGACCGGGCCGGATTATCGATTAACCGATTGGGTCACTGATTTTTATGAAAACCAACGGGGTACCGATTCTGATGCATGACTGATCCATTACTTTAACCGGACCAGTTATATAACCAGTTTATCGGTTCCCAAATTGACCCGACCAGATCAATCCGATTTTAATAACATTGCTCAGAAGTGCCAAACTGCCAATTGAAGTCTCCAAACCGACCTGAGAAATATATTAATTATCTTTCACCGCAACATCATACCAATTCAAGATATATATTAGTTTATTTTGCATTTTAAATAGTGTTATAATATAATCAAGTGTTATAATATATAAGAAAAGTTATATTTACAATTTTTTTTACAATCTCTTACAATCATGTCTTATCACCGTTGATTTCTGCCAATTAACAGTTATTATTTTAGCGAATTAAACTCATTAATTAATTATTAATTCACAATAAATGATAATCGTTTGACAAAATCAACGGTATTAAGATATGATTACAAGAGATTATAAAAAAAAAATTATAAATATAAATTTTCTCGTAATATAATATAACCTCAAGGCTGAGTGCATTAACTTGTATGTCACTAATTAATTACTCCATTATTTACTAACTGATTTGTAAATTAGTAGTGGACTTATATAACGAGTTTACTGAAAAATGTATGAGAAGAAATAACTTCATATTAGAATGAGAATTAGTTTTCTATTTAAAGCCTTAATCCTAGAACCAATCTTGAATCACACTAATCACGAAATGATGAATTGATTAAAATATCTTAGAAAAAAAGTGAGAATTAGTTTCGTATTTACAAAGTTATAATTAGAAAAATATTGATTTTGATTTTGATTCAAAATAAACACGTTAGAAATTAGTATATTGAATATTCAAAATATAATTTAAAATTATGAATATGTACGTGTTTAGAATTCAGTGATAAATATGATGTCATGCATAAGATTTACTAGAAACCTGAATCCATATTTCCTTATCATTTTTTGGGTCAACCGTGTGTTTTAATTTTTCATATAAGTTGACGAAAATATATTCTTATTGAAATTTCGTATTTTATTGACTGCCAAATACATATTCAATTTCAAACATCTTAATCTTATAATTAAATATTTAAAAATTCAATGTATCAAACTTTTTCAATCTCCTTTTTTAAAAAGGAATGATCTCTTAAAACTGTAACACAAAAGAAACTGAGAAAATGGAAAAATAAAAAATAAAAAGTTAATACAACTGTAATATATTTAGTCACGCGCATTTACATCAAATTTGATAAAATGATAGTGGGACTTATAAAAGTTTGTTCAATTCCTAGATAAAACACCTATATCATGAATACAGAAATATGTTACATGTGAACTAATTTTTTTTTTATGAAAGATAAATTGGAGAGGGATTTATTTACATTGATGGAGAAAGGGTTTGAATTTATTTTTTTCCTAATAATGTATTTGTATATAGACTATGAGTGTGATTACAATTTGTGCTGTTGAATGCCAATCCCATCGTAAGGTTCATAATGATGGGTGGAACTGGGAACTTCTTTAGACCATTGGATTGAACTCAACGTCAGCGGTGGAAAGCAACACTCACAATCTTCTTGACATGGTTGTGGCATTGCTAACCCTTGGTGGTCCTCGTTACTTGCTGGAGTAGCTTGCCTACCCTTTTCCTGGGACCCACCTGAAGGTGCCGATGCTTCCTTCAGTGGACCCCAACATTCTGCCTTGTTGAATTCTGGAATGTTTGAGTGAAAATACACCCAAACTAAAGCTTCCAGCAATTCTGGATAGTTGTTTAATAAATTGCCATCCCCGTAAACAAAGGCCTTCAACACCTATAACACGCACACACGCACAATAACAACGTAAGACATCTCTTTCTTCATGATTGATCACACATATATGATCATAAGAGATTGATTATTAATGATTACAAAACTTGCTTACCACTGGTAGCTCTTTACAGAATATGAAGTATCTTAGCCTAGCGCATATATCTAACAGAAAATGACCTCCACTAATGTGGCAGTGAACATGTAGAGACATCTTTCCCTTCACCTTCTTCCACTGTGCCACAACTTCATCCCTTTGCAATCTATTGTACCACCCCTGCAACTGCAATTCAATTCCCATCCTTATAACTAAAACAATGTTTTATTTCACATCAAGGATGTAATATATACCCTGTTTTCCTCTGTTTCATGACTTGTTTAACAATCGATCTTTTCTCGTGTGTACTATTTATAGCTAATAATGATTTCGAATGATTGCGACAATCAAATCAATTATTTAAGATAAGAAATACCTGAGAGTTATTTATGGTTTGAGAGATTGCCAAAGTGAGCTTAGAGGTTATATCACTGTGGGTGAACGTATAAGTCCTTGGAAGATTTCCTGGGTGTTTATTTTCGTCCACTCCTAAGAATAAAACCTTCAGCTTTGAAGCTTCAAAGATTGCAGGCCCGAACAACCTAGCAACCTGATCCAACCAACCCCGTAAGACAAACCCAAAAAAAGTTACAAATTTTTATTTGAAAATTGAGAAAGAGAAACACATACAGGCACAACAGCTTGGTTCTTCTTCCTGAGCCGTCTTCTGTGGGGGGAAAGAGAGATTTGCTGCGAATACTTAAGCTTAGAAGAGAGCAGAGGAGCAATAGCTAGAGTACCCATGTCTCTGCAGCTCCAATTTTTGAGGAATCCAAAGAAGTTTGATGTGGGTTTGTTCAAAGATCAAACAGTAGTTTGATGACCCTAAGGAGGCTTTATTAACGCTTTGTTCTTCTTGCTTGAGAATCTGCTTTCGCTTTTGCTTGTCGGGTTGAGCCTTGAAATTTGAAGACGGTTAAGGTCGGAGTGTTTAGATGCGTGTAGCAATGTGTCTTTGCCCAACGATTGCGGTTGCTTTAAGTCGTAGCCTTAGTGTCTTGATTGCTATAGTTTTTGGCTATTTTCAAGGGTAATGGTGTCTCTACCCTTTTGTAACACGTTTCTCTGCTATCAGCCTCCACGTGTTGTAGTTGCTCCAATTCGTCTCCTACTCAATGGCAGCACTAGCACGCCATTTTTTTTTATTTTTAGTTTTGGGTATGACAGACTTTAGAAACATACTTGCCTGTCATATAAAGTGGATAAAAATCTCTTTGTAATGCAGTTTGGCAACTTAAAATAATGATATGTTAGATTTCCTTTTCTCATACGTCTAGTTTATGAAAATCGTCTTAGATCCTTAATAGTTTTAAAAATGGCAGCTACAAATCTTTTTTATCTATTTTTTTAACCTTGCTCGAATTAAATTCTTTCAATTTCTCTATAAAAAATAAACGTACCAGGTTGTCAATTGTTAGTAGTGAGATAGACGTATTCTCTCTTAAAGAAGCATATATTCGTTTACAAAGTAATATTCATAGATACTATAATTAGGATGAAGTTTTTCTTCAGGGGAAAAAACATATATTGGAGCCTTTGTTGTATATTATGCCATTCATGGATATTATAATAATTATGGTGATGACAATACTAATTTTTCCTAAGCCATTGACATATGGTTGAAAATTATATGTCTGCTCTGACCAAATAGCAGTTCCCATGGTTTTATTATCTCGGTGTATTCTAAATCATAGTTTGACGGTGGAAGTGCTGATTGTGAGATATTTAAAATATGACTGCATCTTGATTCTTGAAGCGCATTCGAAGGATGAGAACCTATGAAGCATCGACACTTCAAAAATTCGGACGTGTTGTGTCCGAAACTTCCTGACACTCTCGGACACTCCGACACTCCCCGACACTCCAACACGCGTTATAGAAATTCAAAAAAAAATTCAAAGGTTATGTTGCGTTGAGTTTTGAGTTCCAACTATTAGATTCGTTGGATTACGATTACCATTTTATTGAGTTTAATATAAATATTTGGGATATCTTATGTTTCTTTGCAAAATTTATGAATATTATAAGTTTAGATTCATTTTTTTGTTAAATTATTAAATATTAAATATAATACATACTACATAAATTAAAAATATTATTTAATATCAAAACGTGTCCTAACGTGTCGAAATCTAACATTTTTTAGAATTAACGTGTCGGAGTGTCGTGTCGTATCGTGTCACGTGTCCCGTGTCAGTATCGGTGCTACATAGATGAGAACCCCTTGATCCTAATACGAAGTCCATGGGAACTAGGAATTTAGAAGTTTGTAACGTTGTATTTTCAGTGATTCCTCATATTTGAGCTTGAGCCCCATCTCCCTACGCTAAAGAAAAGGTTTATTTATTAATCAGCACACTACTAAAAACTCACGGGAGTTTTCTCATTAGTTCTGTTCAGGGAACTGCTTGTGTTAAAAAAAAAAAAAAAAAAAAAAAAAAAAAAATCATCAGATTTTTTATATAAAATCCAGGCTAGAAAAGTCACGGATCCAAATACTTGAAGTTGATAGGACCCACAACTAAATCCGCTAAAAGCAACTCCCATTCACATTAACTTTCGGAGAGTTGAGTGGTGGAGGGACCCACTTTATATAATTCCCAAAGCTCTTTATTCGTGTTATGGACCCGCCGTATAATGAGGTTAATATCCCATTTGTTCTCAATTCTCATCACATAACCTTTAACCAGTTATTTCGCCATTCTCCATACGGACCATACCCACCATAAGGTTGCAAGGAAAATACTACTACTCTTCCCATATGCAAACTTCGTAATCTAGACTAGCAAGTAGCAAGCAATATAAGTATTAAAGCCAAGCCTTACCCCAGACATCGCGAGAGTGAGTTCAGTCTCAAAGGCAGTGGATCACACTTTCAAGTTTCAAGACAATGGTCAATGCACACGCCCATGTTAAAAAAAGTTTGATTCTTGTATTGTTTAATACGATAATAAAATTGTTTAATCTAATCTTTAAATTCATTTTATCAATTCTATTTTTATGCTATTTACTGATGTGAAGTTATGTTATAAGAAAAATACTCAAAAAAAATTAAAGAATATTACAAAAGTGAGGCAGATTATTTATTAATTTATATTCAATGACTCGTATAATTAAAAAATTAGAATCATTAAATTAATAATCAAGATTCAGAGTGCTGCTTCTATCAAATATAAAATGACATTTACAACTCTTAGAAATGCAATGTGCTAAATTGACATTGACCCCTGCCGGTCAATGGTTGAAATGTTTTTTTTTTTTGGTACAATGGTTAAAATATTTTAGAAAATAACTTTAAAAGATGAGTTAGTATAATATTTTAGAAAATAACTTTAAAAGATGAGTTAGTATATATATATATATATATATATTTCTGCAGCTGCTGTACGTGCAGCAATCAAATACTTTCATATATATACGTGAAAGCATTAAATGCAGGGAATCATAATCATACAAAAGATAAAAGCATTAAATGAGGGGGATCATAATCATACACATGTCGTTGTTGTACGTAAAGCGGCTGCAGAAATAATTTTACCATATATATATATGGGTTCGCTTTTTCTGCAGTTACTGCAAATAAGTTATCTGCAGTAAGCCCAATACGATGTTGTTTTGGGAAGGAAATCATGGTGTTTTTGTAATTTTAATTTATTTCATGGTTATAATAGTCTTTATATTTATAATTTTTTAAGATTTCAACACCAAAACAGCATCATTTTGGAAAAAATGCAGATTAATTATCTGCAGTAACTGCAGAAATATTTTTCCCTATATATATATATATATATATATATATATATATGTGTGTGTATTGGCTTTATTATTCTCATGTAATAAGGGAGAGAAACTCTCTCATGCTATAGATACAATTATGTGCGGGACCCATCCACTTATATATAAAAAAAAGATTCAACACAGAAATTGATGTATATGTAGGAAGAAAAAAAAATCTCCAACAATTTTCCTATATATATATATATATATATATATATATATATATATATATATATAAAAGAGAGAGAGAGAGAGAGAGAAAATTGTGTGTCATTTTAAAAGATATACAGTTGTGTGTCATTTTAAGTGAGAGAAAGAGATAGATCATGGGAGAGAGTGGACAAAAAAAAATAAAGGTGTGGGTCTCACCTCTATGTGAAAGTGAAATGACAGAAGTTATGTTATTTAAAAGTATAAACACTTTTCTCATATATATATATATATATATATATATATATATATATATATATATTGTGTGTGTGTTTTGTATTTCTCATTTCATAGGAAAAGTATATTCTCCTGCCACTAACTCATAAAACTTTGTACCTTAATTTATTTTATTTTTTGAAAAAAAAAATGGGTTCCACTAAAAGTTGTCTTTATAGGAAAAATATCAATTTTTTCTATGAAATGACACGCACATATACACATATATAGAGAAATCTTATATTTATAAATTTTTTGTTTACAAATTTTTACAAATTACATTATGTCTGACCGGTCATACACTAATCAAGAGTGTATGAACGATCATACTTAGGGGATGTTTGGTGCAGGAGAAATTTTTTTTTTCAGGAAACTTTTTTTGCTGAAATATGGTGGAAAATATTTTTTTTCTGGTGAGTTACAAAAATGTGTTTGGTTTACACAAATTTATCCCAGGAATATTTGATTAAGTTCAATGAGTAAAAAAAATAACCCCACATTTACTTTTTCATTCTTTTTTTTCTCCCGCGTTCATTTTCGCTCAGTTCTCCTCTCTCTCTCTAATATTCGACCTCGTTCTTTGCTTTGAGCTTATCCCTGAATCGTTTTCCATGCTTTACTCTTCACACCATCTGCAGCTAGAGCATCTTCTATGTATGATAAGGCATAAAGCATGGAAGCATGAGCACCTACGCTTGTTCCTTCAAACAGATGGAGCTGTAGTTATTACTTAACAGAATAGCTCTTATTTCAATACACAAATGCAGTGGCTTGAAGGGGGGAGAGATAATGTATTGTGTTTTATGCTACGTTGTACTGAGCTTCTTCACAAAAGTGAGGGTTAATTTGGTCCTCAATTTCGCTGTTGATTTGTTACTTCCCTGGGTGATGAAAAATTCCAACAAATCTTTGGTATTGTTTTGATGGTGTCCGTACGAAAATTTGCAGAGGAGAACGAAATTCGGGAAACAAATATATCCGGAATTTTTTTAATTTTTTTGTACCAAACGTGACATTCCATAAATCCAAAGTGAGCTTTCCCAAGTTTTTAAAAAAAATCTAGGTACCAAACGTCCCCTTAGTGTAATTTGTAAGAAAAAATTATAAACAGATCATTCCTCATATATATATATATATATATATATATATATATATATAAGGATTATTTTATACCAGCGTAAAACTAATAAGTCTTACACCACATCTCAACCGTTGATTTCCATGCATCAAACGGTTATAATTTAGGAAGTCATATGAATTAATTAATTTTAATTAATCATTAACTATACTACCAACCAATGATTTCCATTCATATGAATTAATTAATTTTAATTAATCATTAATTATACTACCAACCAATGATTTCCTTCTATCAATGGTTGAGATGTGGTGTAAAACTTATTAGTCTTACACTGGTGTAAAAAGAATCTGTTCCTATATATATATATATATATATATATAAACTTAAAAACAAAAGAAAATAAACTTAAAAATAAAAGAGTCATGCCGGTTGTTAACCCTGGCTATGACTTATTACAAAAGATAAAAAGAGTGAAGAGTGAGTGACTCGATTGGTTAAACTTGTGAAAGGACATGTTAAAATAAACCATCTAAAAGAGTGGGTGACTCACGAACAGGAATATAAATAGGTTAGGCTAGGTTAGACTTTAGCTTAAATAGATCAGGTCTGTGTGAAAAATATTGGGTCTGGCCTAGCCTTTTAGCCTGTGTAGGCCTCAAATTACAAGTCTGATCTGACCTATATTTAAAAATAAAAGCTTTGACTTAGGCTTGTTAGTCTGTTTAAACCTATTAAATATTCAACAATTAAAAAATAACTAAAATAA